TTTTTGAACAGCGACAATCTACATGTCAGACACACTTTCAAATGTAGCAAAATCATTTGTATACAATATGCAATCATTAGGGTACACGTGTATCTTCTTATACTCCAAACCCATTGGACATAATATCTTTTTCGCCTCATAGTTACGATTAGGTAACATGTTATCTTCTAGAAGCATCTCCTTCAACAACTGCAACAATTCTGTGAAACTTTTATCAGTCCAGCCATTTCTTGTTTTTAAACTAAACAATCTTAAAGTTGCTGATAATCTTGTAAACATACTACATCCTGGGTACAATGGTTGCTCAAAATCAGACTTTAAGGTATCATACACATGTGCTCTTTCAAAATTTTCTTCACCAACATCACGTATCATCTCTTCTAAGTTATCGTCCATCCCTTCAAAATTTTCAGTTGTTGACACTGTTGGAATGTCTAATATTTCTCTGTGCCATGTCCATATTGTATAACTCTTCACAATACCAAATATAAATAGGTTATCACGTATTTCCCCAACTTCCTAACATATCTGATTCAAACAAGGAATGCATGGACAATAAGCCCCTTTGATGGGTTTTCCATTTTCTCTTGCAAATTGCAAGAACTCTTCAACTCTGTTTCTGTACTCTTGACTAATGCCACGTGCATTCATCCAACTTTGGTTCATTATCTATATATTAACAAAAATTAACTATTGACTCAGTTATTCATAATTATTCTAACCTAAACTACAACCCTAAAAAAAAGGATATACAAAGGCAACAAGAAATAGCCTTGATGTAATCAACATTTCAAGAGATACTAATTTCGGATAAAATTGATAGATACTTCTACTAATACGATGGTAAAATAAAGGCTAAATGCCTAATTTGGTCCCTCATAATAATTAAAATTTTCAATTTGGTCCCACTTTATTTTTTGTTCCAATTTAGTCCCCAATAATTTAAAATGAGATCAATGTGGGACTTCCGTCCAAATTCCACAAACGGTGTTAAATGTGGATGACGTGGATGCCACGTAGATGCATAGGTGGCAACGTTTCCTCCTCCTTCTTTAATGCATCTGGAACGGCCCGTTCTGCTTGCACTCGTAGTGTGTTACTTTTGCATCTGGAACGGCCCGTTCTCAAACTAGAACGGCACATTCCAAATGCACAATTAAAACACAACTAGTGCAAGCAGAACGGACTATTCTGGTTTGAGAACGGCCATTTCCAAATGCAAAATTAACATATGATATACGTATGTTTTCATTTAAAAAATATTCATAATATTAAATAATTTAAGTAATCATTATATTTAATGATACAATGTGATAACTAGTACAACTTAAATTATTAATAGATTAATAAATATATTTATTTTCAACAAATTAGTTAATATATTAAGAAAGGATTTTTGATACTAACCTCAAACGTGCACTGAATGCAATCGGTCAGAAACTCAGGAGCTACCCACTGATGTCCAGAAGTCGTTCACCCAAAGGAGAAATAAAAAAACTCTATAACGTTCTATGTAAAATACGTAATCGAAGAACCTAACACCGTTCTCTGTAACGTTGTGTACAAATATTGTCGCGCGCGAAGAAGATGAAGTGGCTGGGGAAATATGAAACTTTTTTACGTCGGACCACATAGGAGCCGATGTAAATTAAAAAATCTACGTCGAACACAAGCTACATCCAACGTAGATTTTTAAATTTACGTTGGCTCCTATTTAGGCCGACGTAAAAAAGTTTGCTTTATTTTCAAAATTGTTATTGCATCTTTTTTACGTTAAATATGTTTACGTCCGACGAGAAAACGCAGACGTACGTAGTTTCTTACTTTTGCACTTTGAAGGGACTCTTTTCTTAATCAAGTTTTATGTTTAATTATTATTGAAACACTTGGTTGATTATCATTTTATAGTTTTCACTCTCACAAACATTATTTTCATTCACATTCTCAGACTGAAAATCATATTAATCGTGAGTTCATATTCACTTAGGTCAACAACAGTTGACAATTGGTAATATGATATAATAAGAAAATAGATTTAGATAAAAACATGTTTATTAATAAGATTTTTGTGGGTTTATTAAGTGTCCAAATGTCGCTACTCTTGTTATGTAGGAAGAAAATACTATACAGTAGGAAACTGAAAAACCCTTGTACTATGTGCATATCATATAACTAAATTATTGTATTTCCATTCAGTATCATTACATTTATCACCGTAGATTAAGAAATAAAACAGTTATAGCAGTTACTGAGGCGGTTATAGTTGAAGAAAATACTATACAGTAGGAAACTGAAAAACCCTTGTACTATGTGCATATCATATAACTAAATTATTGTATTTCCATTCAGTATCATTACATTTATCACCGTAGATTAAGAAATAAAACAGTTATAGCAGTTACTGAGGCAGTTATAGTTGAAGAAGAAGAAGAAGAAGATATTTCGTTGAATTTAAATTTCTTAATGCATAAATCAAGTTTTCAAATTTAAAAAATATATATAAAAATTATTTGATAATTCATTTCATTAATTCAATTTGACGAATAATCATAAAAATATTTTATACATTGATTTAAATTAATGAAACGAAGTATTAAATAATTTTTAAATTTTTTAAAATTTATTACGAACTTGATCTATATATTAAGAACTTTAAATTCAACGATTCAATTGTTAAAATTTGATGTGAAACATGAATTATTGAATGAAGTAAGTTTAAGTAAATTTATTCTTAAAATACACAAATCCCTACTCATTTAGAAATAATGTCTTTAACAGAAAAAAAAATTGTTAAAAATGAGTATAAGTTAGTTTTTATTCGGTTTTTCTTTTGTTAGATAAGTTGTAAACTTTATATGCATCAAAGTAACTTATTTTTTATTTTATAAACTTCATCTATTATTCAAATCACACGACTTATTTTGCAGACATCTTTTTTATTATAAAAAAAATAACTAAATTGTAAAAAATAAATCTCAAACATGCTTTTAGTGTCAGTTTTATAAAATGTCAATAAATTTATTATATATTACACCTATATCTGTATATAATATTTTTTATTTACTATTTGTATTTTTTTATATAATTCTCTTTTCTAGTTATCTATTTCATTAATTGATTTTTATCTAAAAATAAATTCTTAATTAATTAACAACCTTTTTAGGCAAAAATAATTCATACTAGAAAATAATGAGATAATATTTTTCTCTCTTATTAAATTAGAAATATATAGTTTTTATATGTTTCACTCCCGTACTTTCTTTTTCCAAACCTTAATTAATCACGTAAAAGAAATAAGCGTAAAAAATGTTAATTTTAAAAATATTTAACATAATTAGTTGAAAGAGTTGAATAAAGTATTGTGTTTGAGATCAGATAAAAATATAATAACAAATTTTTTAATTCTTATTTATTTATTTATATGTAGAGATATAGTAAGATTATTATTCTCATATGAGAACGATAATGTTCAATCTCAATAGTTAAATTAAAATAAACAATTTAAATTGAAAAATTATAAATAAAATCTCAATTTTAAATCACAAGTCATAATTGGAGGCATATCACTTTAACCTTATAAGAACTGACCCAATGGTTAGAAATTATATCCCCTTATCAAAAAAAAAAAAATAATAAAAAAAAACTATCAAGTAATGATATCGTTGTCAACATATTATCTTTAACACTATTATCTTCATTATTGTCATTATAAATATTGTTATCACTATCATGATATTATGTTTATCACCACTATTGTTGTCACTTTGTAGTTATGTCCAATATTTTAATCTAAACTATTTAATTTATTTCAAAGATTAAGATTCAACATTCTCATCGTCATATAAAATGATATTATTGTATTGACTCTATAAATATACCTATACTTACTATGTATAAAAGGATTAGTGGTTTGTGTTACTTTTTTTTCTTTCATTTTTTAAGTCCATTGTTTCATTAATTATTTTAAACTACTCAATTTACAAAAATAAATTATACTATTATCTAACTTCAATTCTTTTTTTTAGTTTTGTAACTTTTTTATTTTTCAAGAAACATATTTTACCTCTAATATATTAATATAAGATTATTTTTAAACATGTAGCCCATTTTTCAAAAATTGTTATTATTATTATTATTATATGATATTTGGTTATAATTATTTTTATTATTATAGGAGAATATTGTTTTGTATAATTTAAATAATTATTTTTTTAATGCTTTAGATAATTATTTTGTATGCATTAAATAAGTATTTTTATTAGTATTTTAAATAATTATTTATTTATTTTAAGGGATAATTTAGGAGTCGATTAATTATATATTTTATTATATAATTTAAAAGGTTAATTTTATAGGATATTCTGGTATCAAAATTATATATTATATTTTGGGTCAAAAATATTTTATTATTAAGAAAAATGGGTTAGGTTAATTTGGCCCAGTAGATTACTTTTAAGAAAGAGGTTAGACTGAATTAACCTATCTGACTCATTTTGTGTTTTGAAGTGTTGGGTGAAAGAAAAGAGAAGAAGAGAGCTCCGAGGAGGAATACTAAGATAATAACATTGGAATTATTCTGATTGACGCAACAGGTACAGGAAAAAATGAATCTTTATCTGCTCTGTGAAATCACAAGAGAATATAGGTAAAGAGAAAGTGCTCTAAGATTTTTAGTAACTCCATAATTGTTTCTGTTTAGACGTTTGATGATTCTAATATTAATTATCTCTGTATGAAATTATGATTGTCTTTCTGGTAAAACAATTGTTAAAATGATATTCTGGAAGAGAAATTGAATTGTTGAAGTGCGCATGTAAGCTAGGGTTCTAAAGGGATTAGGGATTTGTTAACTGATACATGCTCTCTTAAAATTGATGATGTGTGTTGAGTTTTCATGAACAAATAAGTTTTTTGACAGATTATATTGCAAGCCAAGACATAACATAACTATTAGAGCAAAGCTAAGCAAGAGAGAGGATTAAAGAAAAAGAATCAAAAGAATGGATGCTGCAAGAAAAGGTAAAGAGAAGGTTACTGAAGAAAATATTTGGAAAGAAAAAGAAGAAGAGGAGGAGGAGAAACGAAGGCAGGAATTAGCCAAATATATGCTCCAAAGGTTCCCAGATGTTGCCACTGCAGACCACGACACAAAACTCGAAAGATTAGAACAATGCCTCAGGTATTAATATATTTCTCTTCAATTTATTCTTGTCATATCACTCCCTTTCTTTGCCGAAACAAAATTAAGGTTCTTAATTTGGTCTAGGGAACTAGAGTGTGAAGAGCAGCAGAATGTGGTAAAGAAGCAGTTACATGACCCCTGGAAAATAAAGGTACCCTTGCAACTGTGTGATTTGATGGACAAAGTGGTGCTATCTGGTACGGCATCTGAAGATGAGACTGAAGAAAAGGGATATGAATTTGAGGTTTTGGATGTGGACACAAACACCAAGCACACTCTCCGTTTAGTCAAAAGGACAAATTCTATTGTTTTCACGGGCAACTGGACCAAAGATTTTATCTTGAGAAGGGACTTAAAGTTGCACGATTTTGTTGGCTTTTATTGGGATGATATCCACAAGCGCTATAATTTTTCTGTTCTTAAACGGGAAGATTTATAGTTTACAATTCATCCATTTTAGAAAATTCCATCAAGTATTCATGTTCATTCATTTGTTACAAGTACTCTTCAGTGCTTTCTTTTCATTTTTTTCTTGCTGTCAGTATGATACAGTAAATAATAATACAAGAAATGTGCAGTTTTGTTTCTTGTGTAAATGAGTTTTTTCTTTCACTACCTTTATACGTTCATTTGCTCGTTTAGTTACTTCCGGCCATATAAAAGTATATATGCTAGGCTGTGAATGAAAATTGAGGAGATATTTTGATTACCAAGTTCAAGGAGTTCAACAATAATTGCCTGAGGTGTTTTGGAAGAGCATATCTTAATCATACAAATGACGTACAATAATCTTTTATAATCTTTTTTATCTTAAAAAAAAATTCAACAAACTTCACTTGCAATAATATTGAATAAGTATTTAATTAGGTCCTAAAGTAATTGTAATTGCCTTTAACACCTTGAAGTTGTGAATTTGTCATGCTAACTTCACTTGCAATAATATTGAATAAGTATTTAATTAGGTCCTAAAGTAATTGTAATTGCCTTTAACACCTTGAAGTTGTGAATTTGTCATGCTAGGTACCTATAATATGTGCACATGATGGAAAAGTACACGAGACGAGGCTTGTTGAGATATAAACAAGTTTCATATTGATAAAATAAGACAAGAAATAATAATTTATATAATACCAACATAGCGTTTAGGTCCAAAGAGGACAATCAACCATGAAAAACTTGCATGATCAAACTTGTTTTCTACACTTTTAATTAGATTAATTATTTAATTCGCTTATCCATACCAATGCCTTTCCCTTGTTAAAATTCTTTATGATCAATATTTAAAAAAATAGTTTTGAGTATTCAACAATTAAGAAATAAGACAGAGATATAAAAGATATATAAGGGTGATAAGAAAGAAAAAATATCAAGAATTTCAAATTCTTACTATTTTGAAGAATTTGCAATTTTACTATTTTAAGGAATTTTACAAATATTTAAATTTCAAGTTATTTGTAAATTCTCCATCCAAATAAAACATTTCATCTCAAAGCATTTAAAATTCTTCAAAAAAATTTAATTGTTTCATTTAAATTTCTCATCCAAACACACTCTAAATCTAAATTATTGCTTTCATTTCTAAATTGTTGTTTTCTATCATATTTTCTTCAATCAAATTTCTATCCCTTCAAAGTCCTAAACACCATAATTTGGTTGGCGATTTCTTAAATCTAGTCCTTTGATTTCAATACTCTTTCCATTGTAACTTATGAAAAGGGTTTTAGCTTATTTGAATTTATTATGATTTTATTTTTTTATTCTTTATTTTTATCTAAATCTTGTTCTTTTACATTTAATGCTAACCAACTCAAAAAGGTTTGTTTTGACGTAACGTCAAACGTAACAAAATAAAACACCTTTATATATTAGTATAAAGTATCCCTTTATATATTAGTATAGATTTATTAGTTTCAAGTTCTTAAATTTGATTAAAAAATATTTTTTCTAATTTTAAAAAATATAAGGATATAATGGTCAAAAAAAGTAGAGACCAAGGTGGTTACCAAAAAAGATATCCCCTTTAAAAAGGCACTCCGTGCCTGCATTGTATTAAAAAAATAAATAAATAAAAAAGGAAAAAAATGAGAAATTACTCATAAAAAATTAAAGAAAGTTTTGAAACTTAACGTGAAACATGAATATATTCTTGAGGTGACTTTCGTTAAAAATCCTTATATATGCGTAAAAATAATAAAAAATATCAATGGTAGAAAAAGAATAGAAAAATAGAGGAATTATTTTAGTAGAAGCAAAGGGGACCAGAGTGTTAGATCTTAACCATATTGCAAAATGGTGATGGTCCAAATGCATGCAAAACATTAACAACAACTTGAAAACCAAAATTGAAACTAAATTATTGTCATTTCCTTCACAAATTCAAATTTCATTTCAATATACATACCTTCAATTTCAAACATGTCATTGTGTTCCTTCTATTATAATTTTTAGCATATCTAATTATAGATGATTTAAAAAAATTAAGAACATATTTTTTTGTTTCATGAACTTCATCTAAGTCGTGATCATGAAAGGTGTGATCATGCTTTTTAATGGTGTCCTTATCACGGTCGGAGTATTTATCTTCTACACAATGTGTCACTATATTCAAAAAATCCAGTAGAAAAAGAAATAAAGAAATTTATTAAAAAAATATTAGAACGTTAAAAAAGATGAGTTAAAATATAATACAACTTGTTTTCAAATGTGATTCATACTAAGAAATAGGGATGATTTTGGAATAAAGGAGAAATTGAGAATCAATTGGGATGAGAAAATTGTAGAGAGTGAGAATGAAAAAAGAACATACGAAAGAGGGAGAGGAAATTTTTTAGAGCAGCAAGATAGAAATAGATAAAAGCCTAGATATGTTGAGTGGTTGTTATTTTAAAAGAAAGTGGTTATTGTTTTAAAAAAAAGTGGTTATTGTTTTAAAAGAAAGTGGTTATTTTTTTTAAAAGAGTAACCACCAATAAGGGTGAAAATTGAATAAAGAAAAATGGAGACCAAAACCTTTTTGTATCCCTTTTATCTTAAGTTATAGATTATAGGTATAGATAATAAAATATCATTCGGTAAAAAAAATTAAATATATAATCATTGAACTTGCAAATGGTAGTTAATATCGTACGATACACAATACGATACAATGGGGTTCACGTAGCAAGCGATACGAATCGAAAGTAGTACCGTTTATGAAAACAAATCGCCTATGTTATGTTACTTCGTGCCTTTATATGTACTAGCAGGAAAAAGACACTCTGTACCTGCATTGTATTAAAAAAATAAATAATTTAAAAAGGAAAAAAATGAGAAATTACTCATAAAAAATTAAATTAAGTTTTGAAATTTAACGTGAAACATGAATATATTCTTGAGTTGACTTTCGTTAAAAGTCCTTATATATGCGTAAAAATAATAGAAAATATCAATGGTAGAAAAAAAGAGAAAAATAGAGGAATTACTTTAGTAGAAGCAAAGGGGACCAAAGTGTTATATCTTAACCATATTGCAAAATGGTGATGGTCCAAATGCATGCAAAACATTAACAACAACTTGAAAACCAAAATTGAAACTAAATTGTTGTCATTTCCTTCACAAATTCAAATTTCATTTCAATATATAAAATTTGCACATATAATATTTTCTATTAATCATATTATTATATTACCTTTCTACCTTTTGAGACAATAACTTTTTTGACTATTTTTCAAAGTTGAGTTTTATTTGCTATTATTATAGAACTCCATTCAATGGAATTTATTTTAAGAGGATGAACATGCAACAAATAAATTTTAAATTAAAGTATTATGAAGAATGCAATATGAAGATGTCATATTAAAATTGGGTCAATTGTTGTAAGGAAATACTTATCTTTTCTAATATTTTGTAACTTTTCAAAGTAACTCTCCTAAAAAATATATAAGTGATATTATTAAAAATGAATATAATAAAAAAATAACAATAAATGTGTGAGAGTGATCATTGTAATTTTTATACAACTGATAAATGGCCAATGTTAACTCTTGCTCATATCATTGATGTTTGATCTAAATTGTAGGTTGTTGAAGAGGCAATGATTTATACTGCATCAATAATTATTGGGGTTGATTTAGTTTCCATTTGATTTGAATAAGGTTGAGTGGTTTACTTCCAATAGATAGTTCAATATAAATTAAATAGATGCTTCATATTTAGTACAATGTAAATTAAATAGATGCTTCAGATTTAGTTCAATATAAATTAAATAGATGCTTCAGATTTAGTTTAATATAAATTAAATAGCTATTCACTTATTATTTGTGGTCTTTAGCAGTAATGTCAATTTTTGTACACATATCTACCTATTTTTTGCTATATTGACATGTATGTTTAAACATAATGATGATCATTGTATATGTTTGGTTGAATGGTTTTCTTATTGTATTCTTATTTTCACTATTTAATTTATGAAATTATTAGGTTTTAACATATTATTGTGAACTAATTGGCATCAAACAGGTTTGGATCATTCTTGCCCTGAGATATTTATGTAATGATAATGGTAGTAAAAATTGCAAACTCATATTTTTTATTTATGCTTATTGGTCTTGGGACTACTATTAATGCTGCCAAACCAAAACTTGGTTCTTCTGCCGCCATCTTTGGACTTGGAGCTGTTGGCCTTCTTGTATGTTACCCTTATGCCTTTGTGTGTGAGAGTGACCATTGTAAATTTTATACAACTAATAAATGGCCAATGTTAACTGTTGCTCATATCATTGATGTTTGATCTAAATTGTAGGTTGTTGAAGAGGCAATGATTTATATTGCATCAATAATTATTGGGGTTGATTTAGTTTCCATTTGATTTGAATAAGGTTGAGTGTTTTACTTCGAACAGATGCTTCAGATTTAGTTCAATATAAATTAAATAGATGCTTCAGATTTAGTTCAATATAAATTAAATAGCTATTCACTTATTATTTGTGGTATTTAGCAGTAATGTCAATTTTTGTACACATATCTACTTATTTTTTGCTATATTGACATGTATGTTTAAACATAATGATGATCATTGTATATGTTTGGTTGAATGGTTTTCTTATTGTATTCTTATTTTCACTATTTAATTTATGAAATTATTAGGTTTATCCAAACCTGTTTGATGCCAATTAGTTCACAATAATATGTTAAAACCTAATAATTTCATAAATTAAATAGTGAAAATAAGAATACAATAAGAAAACCATTCAACCAAACATATACAATGATCATCATTATGTTTAAACATACATGTCAATATAGCAAAAAATAGGTAGATATGTGTACAAAAATTGACATTACTGCTAAATACCACAAATAATAAGTGAATAGCTATTTAATTTATATTGAACTAAATCTGAAGCATCTATTTAATTTATATTGAACTAAATCTGAAGCATCTGTTCGAAGTAAAACACTCAACCTTATTCAAATCAAATGGAAACTAAATCAACCCCAATAATTATTGATGCAATATAAATCATTGCCTCTTCAACAACCTACAATTTAGATCAAACATCAATGATATGAGCAACAGTT